ATGTACATAGTATAGTAGGAATTCTTTAAATTCTCAATTAATTGGAAGTAATGATTGACCACATTTTGAATTGTTTTTAATTAGATGGAATTTGTCCATCTTATATAACGAAAGCTAAATATCTTTGGGCTATCGAGCTAGGAAAACTGCACTAGGTAACTATATATTTTGTGTAGTCATAATAATTTTTGTTTTAAAGAAAATTGCATTAGATAACTATATAGCTGTTTAGGACTTAATAGATTAATGAAAAATTTTGAGAAATGCATTTCAAAAATGCCACTTCTTCAAAATAATTTACTCATTATATTATTTAGATTTGGGTTAACTATGTTGTATTAGAGTTTAGAGGTTTTTAGGGATCAAAACATTTTTTAGGGTTTAGAATTTCAAGATTTAGGCTCTAAAAATCCATAATTAGTGGCATTTTTGCAAATGGACAACTCCTAGTGCACTTTTGCAAATGTACACACTAAAAATGACACTTTTGCAATTGTCCCTAGATTAATTGAACCACGACCCCGATATAAGTCATAGTCTTCAATTTCTTTAATTTTCCCCTTAATTAATTAGGTATGCCCAAAATGCTGATCAACCACCATCTAGTATATGACATTGTTAGAATGAGTAGAATTGATTTTTTGAGTAATTATACAAAATAAATCAAACTTGGTTTGGCCTAGACGTAAAATTGTTATCCAAGATTCGATTCGAAATCCAGTTTATTTGCGGGAAAAAACTGATATTGGAAGAAATCAGAGACATATAGTGAAATCTATGATCCATCTATCACAATTTTGAAGTCTGGATATTTGTTTAAAATGTTATAAAATAATGTTTTAAATACATTTTACATAGGTTATTTTATATTTTTTTAATATAAAGTTACATATAAAAAAATTAGTTCTTTCTTATATTATATCACCTCTTAGTTTTTAGAAGTATCATTTAAAAAATTTATTTTCTAATTTTTAGACATTTTCATATCATAATTTAATTTTGATTAATTATTTTTTAATGGAGTTGAAGTCGGTTATCCTGATGTTTGGATGAAATCTGAAGACCACAAATTTGGATAATTATAGCTCGAATCCGGTAGTCATAGATTTGAATGGTTGTAGCTCGGATGCCAGAACAGATAGTCAACCTGCTAACCCATAAAGCTTCCGGTTTAAAAATTTGTAAAAACAATTTCAACGCAAGTTTCTTTTAGAGTATTTCACCATT